ATGTCCATCTGACCTTGACCTGACCTGGACCTGAATTATGAGTTCTTAAACTGACTTTGAATCGATATGGGCCCGACCCTGCTTTGATCTTGGCCTGACCTTGACCTGGTACTGACCTAGACCTGGTACTGACTTAGACCTGGTACTGACCTAGGCCTGGTACTGATTTGACCTTGACCTGAACTTGACCTGACTTTGAACAGACTCAGGCGTGTCTGTGTTATGCTCACATCCTGATGTTATCTGGACTTTAAGCTGGCTTTGACATCTCCTTGACCTGGCCTGGGCCTACGTTATATTGAGTCTAATGTTTTGTGGAAGCTTCCTGACCTGAAACTGACCTGCACCTTTATCTTAAATGGAGCAGTAGAACTCTGTGCACTGTATACATATCTTTCCAGACCACATGCAGCAGGATGAACTACTTTTTTTACTGATTGCGTTCGGAGCTTAGGAGGCAAAAGTGTCATTGTTTATTTTCTTACTCTCGGAACTACCTCTAGTTTATACATACTACATTATAATACGTCATCTATTTTTGGAATAAATAGCTTTTTTCTTCGATCGACGTCTCCCAAAAACGACTTTCTAGTTTTAATGGGGCGAGTTTGTCGTCTGGGCACCTCAGTAAAATGGCGGGTTAATCATTGTTGTTTTATTGAGCTAGCTTATTATTTTCCCCATTTCATTGCATGTCAAAAGCTGCTGGAATGATCAGCTGAACTTTTAGCTTAATCAAACGGTAGTCCCTTTCCATAAAATGTAATATGGAATTTAACATGTAGCCATATCTTCGTGAGTGAATAGAAAATTTATGGGCAGCAGTTACGTTAAGGGAAACTGTCCTTAGATTGTTCGATGAAAAAGTAATTTGTCTGCTAGAGTATATTCTTTATATGGAGAGAATCGTCTTAGACACTGAAGTAATACATCCCAGGATCTTATTTCTCAAATAATGATTTATTGTCTTCTAATTTTCTTAAATCAATCTTCAGTAGTTACGAACAGAATATGGATAAAGCTTTTTGGCATTGAAACTATCTTTGCGAGTTTGGAAAGCCACTTTTCTCGACTCATCGTAATTCCTGCTGCATAAGGTTTAATCTCAAATACCTCTTAGATGCACCATGTTGTCAAAATGCATGCTGTCTTCTGTCCTATATGCCAGGCAAGACTTTAATGCGATAAGATGTTACTGTTTTTGTCAACCAAGGTGTCAGGGACTTGTAAAAGTGATGCGTTTCTGAATGGTGTTTTTATGCCTTTGATTTGAAGAAAAATGTTTCACTCCTTGAAAGCTGTTCTTCATCGTTTATTCTCCAAAAGTCAGGTTAGTGAATTTTTTCACCTTAACTAAATGCTTGAATGGTACTGAAAACATTCGGGATATAAGTTACACGTCAACTCAGACGTATTTTTTCATGGGACTGTCCCAAAATAGGACGTCTTAATGGGATTGTCATGTGAGACTTTCCTTTGCAAAATGTTAGCTATACGGTTCACTGATATCTTAGTGCAACATTCTATAGGTCCATGACTATTATTTTTAAACAGTGGGGTGAATAGGTTTCTAGCCCACGCCCCGACGGGGGCGGATATCCTCCCCTTGAGGTTTTTCGTAAATAGCGGAAAAAACGCGCTTGTGCCGTGAAATTTTACATGGTTATTGCTCCATCACTTTTACACATTTTGTGCAAGTTTGAATCTCCTACCTTTCCAGGTCAAGTCACCAGGTCACGTCGAATGACCCGACCTCAAATTGCTTTTTTTGCAACTTTGGCACCGTGTCAGAGCTGCACTAGATGACGGTGTCCTTTGAAAGTTGCCGGATGTAATGACTAATGAGGTCATTAGTAGCTACAATTTGCATATCTCGTAATTTTGATATCGATGACCTAAGGTCAGGTCAATTTCTTGATCTCCCCATTATAGGTAAGTCAATGGGGGTGGGGGGGATCAATTGCCTGATTTTTCCACTAAACGCGTCAGAATGGCCTAATATACCATGGTCCATGAATGACTTCATACACGATCAACCTTGACTAACTTGAGACCTTTTTTGCTCTTGGGCAACTGTAAGATCATGTGACGTCATCACAGGTCACCAAGAGTCTTTTGCTTGTAATGTAACCCCTTACAGGAACGAGATACAGCCGCGCAGATGGTCTCATTGTGTCCAGCTCGTCAAGACGCATCGAATGATAGGTATACATGGTGACCTGAGATCAACCTTTGACATTGCCCTTTCGAGGTCAACACATATAGGGGAAGTTGGGGGAACGCCGAATACTTTTTTTTCTGACGCCCGTAGCACGCAAGGTAGACAACATAAGCTATTCTTGTTGGCGTCATTCGAGAGGCCAGTCTTTTGTCTTTCAAACATACCAGGCGCATTTGAGGAATTCGCATACCGTTAAGCGCAAAAACTAAAAATATCAAAGAACTGACTTTTTCGGCGTTGCCCCGGACTGCGGGGAAAGCCGAAAATGGGATAAATGATCTACGAGGAATGCCGACATTGATGTTTTGCCAATCCATCTCAAACTTTATCCACAATTCATCAAAGCTGACACGCGTTTTAAGAGCTTGAGGACGCTTGGTGCACACTGGAAGTTATAATTGTGTGATATAATAAGAAAATGCCAGGTAAATCATTCCTTATAGGTAATAGGCCGTTGTGCCGGCTGAAAGTGTAATTTGTTTGACTAAAAATACGCGTTGCTATTCTACAGCAGTAAAGTCCACGTAGCGTGCTTTAACGTGCGTAATTGCACGTTTTCGGCATTACCCCAGCCAGCCATACTTTCATTTGCAGGCCCATAACTTTTAAACGTGCTGTATAAATTTCAAATAGGCAGCACACTTATGCAAAGACATGCTGAAGATTACTTGACCGAATTGGCCAGACAAACAGTAGCATAATGAGTAAGAAATGCAGCTTCAAAGGCGCATGTAGTACAAGGGAAACGTACCTTGAAAACGCTTTTGGCGCCCTCACAGCCGAAGTATTCCAAATGACAACTCGTAACAAACATGCGATAATTGTAGTCACTTAAGCTTCAGAGCATCACTGAGACGTGGCATCCATGTCGTACGGTTTTAGAAATATCTCGAATTTCGGCTTTGCCCCAACTCCGGCATTGCCCCAACTTCCCCTATGTTTCGATGCAGATCGACGAGAGGATCACGATGGTCCTATTAGTTTGCTCCTAGCATGGCTACCACGGAAGTTATTCGAGAAAAAAACTTCATTTCTAGCGCCGCTATTTTTACTTTCTTTACCCCTGTGACGTCATCTTTGACCTGACCTGAAAATGACCTTCGTAAAAATTGAAAACCTTTTCCGTGTATACCCCATGCTGTTTATCGCTTGTCGCTATCTCGCTTCGTTCTCGAGATCTCAAAGGGGGCGGATATAAACGGTTCTTAGTCTGTTCTTAGTCGGTTCTTAGTCTGCACGGAGCCCCGTCGGTGCGCGGGCTAGGACTGTGCGCTGATAACGTACCTTGAAATGACAAATAGCAGTGGCCAATTAATTCATTTAAAGGGTTCTTGGACGGTTCTCTCCTTTTTTGCATTTTTTTCGTACTAAGATTTTTCCCAAGAAAAGCTGCCAAACTATAATGCAAGTAAAAAGCTATTTCGAGTAATACATTTGGAAGGGGTCGACATAGATACGCACTTATGAACTTTTTAAGCTAATTTTTTGGTGAAACATTTAGCCAGCCGTGATCAATGTTCATTGTTGTTTTTAACCTAGATCAGCACAAACAGCATCACAAGTGCAGAGGTCATGAATGAGCAGCACACATGGACTGATGGTGTAGCGTCAGAACCAAGGAAGACACATGAGTGACCGGGTAGAACGATGACAAAGTGATGACGTTTTGGACGAAACGGTGACAACAAAATATGACCTAATGGAAAAGGAGCTGTGACACAGCGGTAACCAAACTTGTACTGATGTGTTTAAGTAGTGACAGAGCGATAAGATAACAGGCGTGGAGTAATAAATGAAGAAGCATTGTTGAAAGTACGAAGAGCAATGACAGCTGAGGTAGCGATGAACTGATGACGAACAATGAATGAAAGCACAACAATGACGTGAGATGGGCTCTGGACAGTGAACGAACTGTCATGGAATGACGCGAAATGAGCAATGACAGTGACGCGAACTGGTGCTGGAACGGAACCCAAACGAACGATGACAGTGACGTGAACTGCCGACGGGACAGTGAAGGAACAATGGCAGGCGACGGCAAATTGGAGCGAGCGATGACAGTGACGTGTGAACTGGGCACCGATTGGTGCCGGACGGGTCGGTGAGAGGTGGCAGGACGCAGCGACCGGGGGCAGCGCGGCGCGGCGACCGGCTGTCCCCGGTCGGCCACTGATCGGGCGATGTCGGGTGGTTGAAGCGGTCACTGAACAGGCCGTAACGCATCTGTCCCCCGGGGCGCAGGACCCCGCGAGCTGACCGCGTGTCTCAATGACGCTGGGATGGCGACCGTCCGAAATTGGACCAGTCTGCACCAATTTATTTTTTGTATTTTTGTTCGGTTTCTTCATTTGCTCGTTTTCTAAATTATATTTCTGTGATGTGTCCTATGTTGCAGTTTTTATTTGATGCCTTATGTCAGACATTTGGTGAAATTTAAATATAATTTCCTCCCTTGAGCCCGTCGCTTTTGGTGTGCTCCCCGGTGCGTGGGTTGATGGCGAGGTAAGCTCCCTCTCTATGTGATGGCAGTGGAGGCCAGCCACGTCCTGCCACTGGAATCGGTACCTTGTCCCGAGCCAGTGGGCTTCCGGCCGCCCGGCGGCGCTCTGTCTCTCTTCTCTCCCGCTCTGTCTCCGCCGTCCCGGGCTGTGGCGAGCCGGTCCACTCTCTGTCTGTGTGCGTGTGCTGCAGTCTGTGTGTCAGTGCGTGTGCGCGCGCGGCGCCGGGCGCACTCTGCGCCGGGGACGGATGGCTAGTGATGGTGTCCCCTGCCCTTCAGCCGCAGAGCCCAACGGCGGTGGAGGCGGCGGCGGCGGCGGCGGCTCAGAGGCCGGCAGCAGCAGCAGCGGCGGCAGCCGGGCGGCGGCCGCGGCCGCCATCTCCAGCCACTACGAGGAGGGCTACCGGGAGTGTCTGCGCGAGGCCATGCAGTGGATGGTCGAGCACGAGGGCTTCATCCCGGGCGACCCTATCTGCGCCCGGCTGATGAACCATCTGCACGAACACATCGAGCTGGTGCTCAAAGGTAGCCGCCCCCACTGCCCACTGACCAGCGCACCTACCCACAGCTCTTCCTCCCGGCACCAGCCGGGCGCTTTCCCAAAGAGCCGTCTCTACGGCCACCAGCCGTGACGACGTTTCTTTGAGGGCCGCTGCCTTCTGATTTGTGTGTGGTTTAGAGCAACGCATAAGACAAATGACTGTGGAATGTGGATAAGTTTCGGCAAGCCCCATGTAAATGTGTCAGTGGCTGTGCACAGAGTGTATAAGAGTATGTGGTAGTCCTGATCAAAGTCTCAGTGGCGGTACGCGTGTCACTGGGTGTGTCTAGGTCTGACAGTGTGCGTCTATTCCGCGTGTGCCTCACACCCCGGCCGTGTGCGCAGGCGGCTTTCCGCCGCGGCCGCACCACATGTCGTCCAACAGCAGCGCCGGCTGCTACACGGGCAACACGAGCGGCTACGACGGCAGCACGAGCAGCGCGGCCGGCACGGCCAGCAGCGCGGCCGGCTCCTCCAGCGAGGGGGTGGGCGGCGCCGGCAGCGGCGCACAGTGGCCCGGCTCGGCCTCCAACTCGGCATCACCGCCCGAGATGCCGCAGTCGCAAGGTCAGGGCCCCACGCGCCGCAGGCACCCCTCCGCAGGGCACAACTCCATAGGGGCAGGGGTTTATTGGGCGGACAAAACTGGCCTTCTAGCCTGCTAGATGGGGAGGACAATGGGATATCTTGTGTAGGCTCATGGACTGAACACGTACAAAAGGACTGAATTTCTAGAAGTGCTTTATATAACGATTTCTTTTCTAATAACTATAACAATTTTGTTTGACAGTAAGACCTACTAATATTTATGACTAAGCACATGACAGAAATCCCAAGAGCATGTGATTTGGACTCTGGGCATAGCATCCATCACACTTGAAAAATGGATCCACGTTTATATTGCACCAATTTTGTGTAAATGAGCTCGTCAAATCGCCTCTGACCGCACAGCAATCCTCTGACCAAACCTAGCACCTCGCCCTGCGCCTGGTACGTACTACGGACTCATATGAATGTTAACAGGCGTCTCAATACGCAACGGCATGCAACTAACTGTGGGTGTGCGGTAGTGATGATCTAAAGTCTGAATGTCAACGAAGTGGTTAGGGTGTGTGTACGTGCGCGTGTTAGACGATGCACACAAGAATGCACATCGGAAGTCAGTGAAGTGCAAGGTGTGCGCTGTGCAGTGCCCAGCGTCCTGAGAAGAAGCTCTTCGTCATGTGTTAGATATAAGAGTGTGAGTGTGTTTGTGTTTGTGTGAGTGAAGCGCTTGCAGAGAAAAGTATTAACTAACAAATGCGTCTCATTTTAATGGCTGTCGTTCGTTATATCTTATATTATTGGAGGTAGTGAACCTATTACCTATCATTAAGTATTCTTACAAAATAAATTTGCCCTTTACCTAAAACAAAATGATTTTTGCTCTCACTTGCTGGTGTAACGTTTAATTATGCAATTTGCAAGCTCACCATAGTACCTAATATTTTGAGTTTTCAAAAAATAATAGGATTTACGTCATTCAAAATTCGAATGCCTGCCTATGTGTTTATTGATATTTATTTTGGGTTTCAAGGTCATTGTCGATGTCTGGCTCAGGTCGAGTTTAACTCGTCTTCAGTCTGGTCGCTCTCGCTCCTATAATAAAAAGGGAAGATCGTTGTAAAGCAGCGCAGAAATCTCGTAAGGAAGTGCTAAGATCACTCAGTTATTATTTAAAAAAAAGTCACCTCGTAGAAGCTGCCAGCTGAAACATTGAAAAAGTTGCATTTCGATTTCGCCAATTTATTTATTTTCCATGGAATATGTACATATGTTTCATTTTTATACCGGTGTTGCCTTTTCATTCAACATGAGCCTTTGTCATTGGTATTAGTGTTGTCGAATTGTAATAGGGGAATAGCATCACCACCACAGCCGTTCTCATGTTTTTGCTGTAAAGGTAATCATAACAGGACCTTTTCTTAGCCACGATTTTGGGAATTTAGGCGCACGAATCAAATCCATAACTACTTCCATTGAATTTTACGTATTGTGTGTAAGCCGCGTAAATAACTAATATTGCCAAATTGGAATGCTAAATAACAAATAATTCCGGATGCATGTGCTGGGCGCTAAAGCCTCTAAAATGGCGAGCTCTTCATTCCTTTCACCTCGTGCTACATCACCGTACATCCGCTAACCTCCATCAGCTATGCCCTTTGGATAACTATCGCGTGATTGCGTCCAGTGAAGGGTGGACATTGACAACAGACTTATTCTGAACGCTCTCTTATGGATGACGATTCTGCTCCGAGACAGTGCTAACTAATATTTGTGTCTGTTTGTAACGGGTTAAAGCTGATATGGTAAACAAGAACCGTAAACAAAACTACGAACAGACATCGCTACTAAACACGGAAGCTTGTCGGTCTTCTATAATGTCTTTGATAAATATTATGAGTTTTTATATCATATGACTTTAATTGTATGTATCAACTTCCTCATGCTCATTTATTTTGTCGCATGTACGTACCTATACCGACTAATTTTACCGTACATGCATGTGCATTGTGCAATCAAGAGGCAAAATTCTTCCAAATTTAAGTGTTTTTTCCAAATTCAAAATCTAAAGTCACCTATCCAAACAACTTTCGGCAATGTATTCCATTAAGCGAGTAGACTGCTCGTCATTCCTAAGCCATGTGTTTGACATCTGTGTGTATGACCTTACTCGTCGTACGCGACGCCGCGGTCGGAGCGCATCAACTGTTGGTGCTTGTGTGTCGTGTTGCAGACTTGGTGCCCATGTCGGCGCCGACGATCGAGTCGTCGATGAGTCCGGCCGACGCGGGCGCCACCTCGCGCTATCCGGACTCGGAGCCGCCCCAGTTCGACCAGGCACGCCTCTATCAGCTGCTACACGTGAGTACGGCAGAGAAAAAGGAGATTGGGAGGAGAGAGAGAGAGAGAGAGAGAGAGAGAGAGAGAGAGAGAGAGAGAGAGAGAGAGAGAGAGAGAGAGAGAGAGAGAGAGAGAGAGAGAGAGAGAGAGAGAGAGAGAGAGAGAGCGAGAGAGCGAGAGAGAGAAAGGGATACTTTAGAAGATATGAGGAGAGGGGAGGGAGAGGGTGACAGAGACAGGCACAAATGAACGTACACCACACTATCTCTCGCGTTCGCCAATCCTAAGTGAGTTGTAGATAATGGTCATGCCCTTAGAACCATTAATAAGATATTCTTTTGGGAATTGCTATTAGGAATTGTGTGCTGTTCCGCAGACTTACCTGTCTTTTATCTTTTTTTACCGTCATATAAAGCCGGATTCACATGAATTTAACGTTTTATGTGATGGAGCCGCACAACTGAGTTCTGCGTGGGTGCAGAAGTATTTGTAACCATAACACCAACTGATTGCACTCATCTGTTTTTTTTTTTCTCCAGAAATCGAGCGAGGCGAAGCGGGCGCACCCTCCAAGCAGCAGCAGCAGTCGCAGTTCCGAAGAGAGCGCCGGGTTCATGTACAAGTTCAAGACGAGTATGAAGAAGCGTTTTTCGGCCGATATGGGCGACGAGTCGGGTCCGAAGCGCTGTCGCCGGCCGCCGCCGCCCTCTGGCGACCGAAAGCCGGCGCCGGCCGCGCTGGCGGCGGCGGCGGCGGCGGCGGCGCGCAGCCAACAGGTGCCCGTGTTCGCGCTGCACAGTCGCGGCCCCCTCTACCTGCCGATGACGGTGCACGTGGAGGCGCTGGGCAGCCAGGCGGAGCTGCTGACGGCCGAGCCGCACTCGGTCGTCCACCCGGTCAACATCTCGGTCTGCTTCTGCGGTGGCCGGCGACCGCCGTCGGCGCCGCCGGCTTCCGACGAGCCGCCCTCCACCTCGGGCGTCTCGTCACTGCGCACCGAGACGGTCGGATCCGACGAGCTCAACTCGGGCAGCTAAGCGGCAGCGTGCCCAGCACCTCTGGGGTAGTGTCGTAGCGAAAACTAGGCGGCCGTCGAGCGCAGGGCTGCACCCCGGGCCCACTGAAGATCCGCGTCGGGCCCGGCGGGACGCCTCGCCAGCTGACGGCACGGCGCCGACAGTCGAGTGACGCGGAGTGAACTGACGCCCCTCCAGGGACGGGTCTGTGTTAGCTGTTACGTGCCGAGATTCGCCGCGCGCTGTGTGTGCTGACGCCCCGTCCTCGGATCCATGAAGAAGACGCAAAGGGGCAACGCCAGCTTTTCATCTTCATCGAGCCGACTGTGTGTGCTGCGCTATTATTTCTCATTCCCCGGTGGTCATGGGGTTTATGTTGACTCCTCAGGTCTATGGTGATGCGTTGCGGTGTATGAATACCATCGCTTATGGCGATGGCGCCTCTGACAGTCAGCTTCTTGTTGCGCTTTTGTTGTCATTGATGTTATTTGTCGCTGCTCTGGCGCGGGCCGATAGTGGAGCTCCAGACGCTAGATCTCGTAGCTCAGATACAAAGAGTTTGTCCTCCTTATCACACACTCACACACACGACGATGCGTGACCTTTTGGTATCGCTCGGCCACAGTTCTTCCGTCAGCTGCTGTTTTTGCAGACCTACCGTTGTTTGTCTGGAACGCGGTTTATTTGGCACCCATGGTTTCTGTAACTATCTTCACCTGACTTGTCCTGATACCACATGGAGTGCAGATCGACCATCTTCCCTCAGCCATACCGCGCGGCTCGATGCTTGTTGACCAGCTATCAGGCGTTGATATCATGCTGCTGTCATCACCAGGCGTGTTTACCGAACCTCCATACAAACGCAGCCATCAGTACCTGTTCGTTGGGCGGCTTAGCCAGCCGAGTGCTCACATTGTCACCAGCGCGTGCACCATTTTGGCCCGACCGTATACCTCCGGGTGTTCACCATTCTGTTCGTCGCCGGAAGTGTCCGCGGGCGGCCTCATCAGTGTCCGGTTTCACCGCGCGCCCGACGGCGGCCGTGACCGCCGTGTGTGTCTGTCAGCGGCGCCGATCATCATTACCTCTCTAGGGTATCCGCTGAGCACTCAGAGTGCTGATTGGTGCAATTCTGACTCCGTTTTCTGCCGCTCTTGGGCTGAACATTTGCTCAGATGCTCGAGAAACCCGATCTAGTGTGGGATTAATAGCACGGAAAAGGTAGAGCTCCTGTTACTGTAACCTGCGTCTGATGAAGACGCTACAGACAAAATCATTCTTTGGTTACATAAAATATGACTTGTTTTCCTTTTCTGTGTCGTCTCAAACATACCCTCTGTTCTTGTCCTTCTTCTTTCGTTCCCGTCGCGAGTGGTGTGGGACGGATGTTGTTACAAAAGGCCGGTTACCACCAGTCGCTTTGGCCGACGACACCCCCGCCGCCATTTGGCCCCAGAGTGCTAGGAAAACGAGGCCAAAGTTTGGAACTTTATTAGGTGATCAACTGGTCGTCATTCAGCTGTTTGGTCATGAGAAAATGCATGCCGTATCAAACTCAGACAAATATTTCGAACAGATGTGTAAGCTGATGATGTGTAAGTTCGACTGCGTTGAAAAAGTCAAAAGGTGGATGTGATACCCATAGCCCTAGTAGGTAATACGTTGAATGAGCTTCACTAGAGCTGGTGATGAGAAGGGCGTTCTTTCAGATTTTGACCCGGATACGGTGCAAACTACCGGTAGTTATCGGAGCTCGTATATGTGTCGTTGGTATATGTATACCTACAAACAATGTTGGCGTCTGTGGTGCATGACAAATATATTTCGGATAGGAAGTACGTGTGTTTGACTGCTGATTGGGTGAAAACTCAACTTTCGCCCCTGATAGTGCTAGAGCGTCGCAGAAAAAAAACGAGCGTGTGCGCCGTTACGAGACCAAGGTGTTGGTGCACGATCCAAGGTCTCAGGTCAACCGGTGACCTCTGAGGTCAGGTTAAGTTGACCTGGTTAAGCTGGCAGGTACCTGACCTAAGAGGTCAGGTGCCTGTCCCGTAGCTCAGTTGGTAGAGCGCTGGACTCCCGGTGGTGAGAGCCCGGGTTCGAGTCGTTCCGGCGCTCGATATTTGAGACTCCTGACGGGGATGGTCTGCGGTTGGTGGGAGTAGCCTCAGCCAGTTGAAGTCAGGTAAGTGGGACAGGCCGTGTCGGGCTTTGAAGGACACGTTAGCCCTCGCCGGCACAGGCCATTTTGCGTCCTTCGACGGCACAAGGGGGGGGGGGGGTTGGAACGACCCCCTCGCATTTGGCCCCTGATCGAGCTAGAGCTTCGCGGAAAAAACGAGCGTGCTGTCCGGCACGAAAGGAAGCCGATGATACCCAATTTTAAGGTCCTAGGTCATCGGGTGACCTTCCAGGTCAGGTCAATGACCCGAAAACCGGGAAAATCGGTACCTGTTAGAAAGTCGTAAAGCGTGGCTGCTATGTGGTTTTCCGGGGTGCTGATCACGAATATCGTGTTAGTTTTGATCAGAGATGATGTCTTTATGCATTTAGACCAGGTCGGGTCAGGTCAGGTCAGGTCAACCGGTAGGGGTTGTGACGGATACTCATAATACGTGTCAACCGCCTCTGACAGCTTCATATAACATGTTAAGAAGGCACCAGAACTACTTCGTAAATGTTCAAATGGTTGCTAAATTCGAATTCAGCTCCAAAATCTAGCCTAGAAACATGCAAAACTCGAAAAAGTGAGCCGAGGTCACCCGAGGTCACCAAAGGTCAATGACCTGACATGACCTTCAGGTGACCTTGACACCCGCCCTAATGTATGGGAGCAATATGAAATCACATGTTTGAACGTTTGAAACCACGAAAAGCTTGCAAACGCGCGGCTAATGCGTGCCGACATGCGCCGAATCGCGATTCCGGCCAAACATGGTCTCGGAAAAGAGGTCACAGGTCAAAGATCATTTGGGTCAGGGTCATGAAATTTTCAGGGTAGGTGTAAAATTGATCAATGCGAGGGTACTGAAAGTTTTGTTGCGATCGGCCGCTTTTTACGCGAGTTATTCGCGAAAAACCTTAGGGGGGTTGCATCAACCCCCCTGTGCCGGCGAGGGTTAAACTTTGGCATCTAAATTCCCCCGTTACCCGGAATTGCGCGATCGGACGGTAGGGGTCGGGGTCTACGCAATAAGCTCTGCTTAGCGTAGGTTCCGGCTCTGTCAAATCCGTCCATTCAAACATTCGAACTAAATTTATACAGGGTGTCCCAGAAGTCTTGAAGCTTTTTTATTTTTGTCGTGTGACCTTGCTATGCGACCGATTAAGGCGAATCATGCCTCAAACGAAAGAGAATGAACTGAAATTTTGTATTTTCATGCGTAGAGCATCACTTTAGTCAGGTGGCCCCCGTTGTGAGTCGCACAAGAACGAGCGCGAGAGATCACGTTCTTCGCTGCCGCCAAGATCTCCCGGTTTGCGAAACACCGGTGTCGCCATGCCCGTTTCTTGTCAGCTTCAGCTTAAAATACCTGAAGCGAGCGACATAATATTAGCGACATATATTTGCGACGGGTTGATATTTGTTTTAGCACCATAATAATGCGACGAATTAAAGGATTACAACGGGCTGTTGCTCAGCGCGCTCAAGCAGCTGAGCCTTATTTTCGTAGTGGATGCGTGCACACATGTCAGTAGACTTTCTGATCAGTAAATCATTATGTTGCTAATGTTTTCTCGGAGATCCAATACTCTGTTTCCTGGCTCGCTTCATGAAATAAGGCTCTGAAGCTGACCAGAAACGGGCATGGCGACACCGGTGTTTCGCACAGCGGGAGATCTTGGCGGCAGCGAAGAACGTGATCTCTCGTGCTCAATCTTGTGCGACTCATAATCATAGGCGCGGGAGCCGGGGGGACAGTGGGGGCAGCTTGCCCCCCCAACTCTGGGGCCGTGGGGGCGGTGCCCCCACAGCTTTGAGACGGAATACCACACTTTTTTTTGCAAATGTTTTCTTTTTTTGTTGAAAAAGCCGAGGGGTGAAAAATAAGTGGCCAAAAACCGGTGAGAAAACTAGATTAGGGGGTACCCTAGGTTAATCTCAATTATGGTCTGCCCCCCCAGTCGGAAAGTAGTTCCCGCGCCCCTGCTCACAATGGGGGCCACCTGAATAAAGTGGTGCTCTACGCATGAAAATACAAAACTTAAGTTCATTCTCTTTCGTTTGAGGCGTCATTTGCCTTAATCAGTGGCATAGCAAGGTCATACGACAAAAATAAAAAAGCTTCAAGACTTCTGGGACACCCTGCCTGCCTTCTGGGACTTGGGCCGTAGTTTAGCCCTAGTTGTGCGACGATTGGCGGTAGCCCGATGTAAGCCAGAGCAGAACGTGACTGGCGCAGAAATGCGCATGCGTGAACAGCCGATCAAGTATGGCTTAACTCCGGTTTTACTCCAGTTAGCCAAAGGAGACAGCCAGCTTGATCAGCCCGCACTCCGCCCAAGTTGAGCCTGCTTTGGATGCGCGGGCGGATGTCGGGCTGAGCTGCAGCTGGCCACACTCGGGCATAGCTGCGGCATGCCCAAGCTCACCCCAAGTAAAAAATGCATTGGTTTTGATCAAAGTGGGCAAACCCAAGCTAAGCCCAAGCTGCCCGACGTTTGCCATAGTTTAGCCCAAGCGAATTGCTGGCTGGGCAGAGGTCAGGTCACTGGGGGTCATAATATGAAAGTGTCGTGTGATGCATGTTTTATGGTCCATTTACATAACAAATGCGATTATGTGGGTCAGGCAGCCTTTGGAGCCAGCTTAGGTCACGTTTTGGTGAAGGTCAGGTCAAGGTCAGGCCAAATTAGGTCAAATTTCAGAGCTGATATTTTTGCATAAAATGGGTATCAATTCGATGCAACCCGTCACGGGGAGTCTAATGGTGGTCTTTGTTTTGCCGTACGTGGTCTAGAATTGCCAAAAATTGAGTTTGAAAATTTGACGTCATCATTTTTGAACAGTTTTTTTCGCTATAACTTGGCCAAAAAACGAGATATCGATCTGAAATTTGGGATGTAGATAGAAGACAGTAGGTACTATCACATTTATTCAGTTTTTCGAAACTAAAAAAAAACTTTTTGGATTTTTTGGCTAATATATAAAAAAATGCTTTTGTGATTTTTGAGGGTCAAAACTCAATCATTTCAAAAATCCGAGATAGCAGTTTTGTAGTTCTATCAATTCTACACCTTTTATGATTGATTATTTTTCTTTATCTTCGAAGCTGTAGGCCTGACAGCTCTTCTCGCCAAGGTCTTTTTCGGTCGAAAATGGCAGAACATGACGTCATTCTGACGTCATTTGTGGCCAACATATCATAGCCTCTGGGAAAATTGTTAGTCACTATGTGTAAAGGTAATGCCCAGAGGGGTCCTGAAAGTTTGGTGGCGATATCTCCAGCCGTTTAGGAGATATTGACGGAAAAGGACAGTGGTGGGGGGCGTTTCGGCCTCCACTACGGGGCGCGGGCTAGAGCAACCAAATTTGCACAGGTTCGAGATCTCCCATGGGCCCACCTACCATGTAAATTTGGTATTTTAAAGTGCCATAGGAGACAATATCCAGGGGACGGGGTCGCACCAACCCTCCTGGCCGTCCGCGTTATGAAAAAGGCCCTGGCCTGGCGAGGGTTTAGGAAAAATCAGAGATATGCAAGTTGTGAGGCCTCTCGAGGATACTACGTCCTGCAAGCGTCATCGCCCTGTGAAAGTTCCTCTGACACTGAGGGTGTTGCCAAGTTGCAACATCCTAGGTCCGTGCAGAGGCTCGCTTATTGCGTCATAGGTAGGTGACCTGACCTGAATATGAGATTGGTGTCACATCATCTGGCTTGAATCAAAGGCCAGGTATGGGAGGTTTCAGCTGTCTATCTCTGGCGTGTTTCGAGCTATCACGAAAAAAAAAACTATGGAGGGCGGGACCCGTCTTCCGCTTCCCCCCCCCCGCCCCCGCGAGGGTTAAAGCAAGGCTATGTTTCTTTTTTGTCCTCGAGTTTCACATTAGTTTTGATCAAAGATAATGTATAGGTATTGTATTTGTGCATCTGGGACTAGCATTATTCTACATGGTTTGGAGCAAAATAAAGATGTTGGATATGATTTAGAACTGAGGCAAACCGCAAATTGAAGTTAGCCTGGCGCTTGTTTTGGTGGGTCTAATTTTAATTTTCATGCTTTATTGAACGGTAACCAGTAACCACACAAGAAACACGATGCTTGTACCTATCTCTGGGCTATATCACTACGTCTATCAGATTTATCCAGTGACTTCGAGCTCGATTTTTTTGCGAAGCTCTAGCTCAATTAGCAGGTAGAAGAAATACTGTTGGTATGATTGCACGCATTGGTACGAGATCAGCCCGATTTGGCGGTGATTAAACATGATTCAACCAATTTTCACATCCCAGAAGTAATGAGGCGCTCAGAAATAAGGAAGAGGTGTCCATTGTCTATCCAAGGCACATAACAAGGCGTTGGGACTTGTTATGTGCGGTAACATAAGCCGTCCGCATCTTCGGGCATCATTATTTTTATCGTTTCCATTTGTCGCAACACAACGTCTTTTGCTCAACATTCGTGAAATGTGTTGCGCATGGCATGGCATAGGTAGGTATAGGTAGGTATGGCGTGCATGTTCAATGCATACGACAAAGGTATGTATGAGGTAAAAAAAAAAACTGGAAACAAAAATGATGACGCGATTAGACATTCTTATCACATTCTTTTCCCGTAATGAAGGTCAGTTGCAAGACTGCCACCAAAACCTGGAAGAGATCAAAGTCAGGCC